AATCCGACTTTTAGGTTAAACTTTTGAAAACATTTTCAAAAAATTTTCGGGTGTGGGTGTGGGTGTGGGTGCTGGTGTGGGTGTTTATATACCTCCCACACCCATTTACACAAGTCAAGTATAATAATCACATTGTTGAGAATGTTTTCTTCTCATGGAAAAATCACTTCACTAATTGACACTATATTTTATGATCAACGATCCATAAGAAATTTTGTAAACGTATATTAATCATCAATCTCGTACGCATAGTTTTCTTTTAGTTTTGCTTAGAGGGGAGAAAATTTAAAAGAGAAAGTCTCCCGAAGTGAAAGAGAAACGTTTTTTACATTCGGTTTTTTCCACTAACATATAGTGCTAGATGATACTTTAAAGAATCGTGTTATCCAATAGATCGATATTTTCTTCGTTATGTTTGTGCATATAAAGCTGCGCAAAAAATTCAAAAAAATGAAAACAAGTCTATTTTTTATATACAAAAATATTTATATCAATACTTTCAAAAATAATATACTTTGAAAAGAGTATTTGACTTTAACTATTATTCTTCATCAGTACTATCATCACCATTATTTTCGTGCTTGTATATCTTGATATTACGAGCTTTTGCTCATCCTGGATACATACAAAAATGTTGCACGATATCATCTAAATCATCATTAGTAACATTCGATTTTAAAACATTAACCTTCGCAGCCGTTTCTAACGCTGTGGATGAGAGATTATTTCGTAATTTGGTTTTAATTCGCTTTAATGCACTAAAACTTCTTTCGCATTCATTAGATCCAATAGGTAAAGTAGTTAATATTTGATATAATTTTAACCATTCAGGTACTAAATAATTTCCATTCACTGATAAAAACTTTAATATATCTAATAAACAAACTTCATCATTAATTGTTTTCTTTTCTTGCCTTCGTTTAACTTCATTATTTGCACTTTTTAATAAAACACGAATTTGTGGAAGTTCTTTTTCTAATTTTGCAAAACATAATAAAGGTTCATCAGTTCGTTCATATATTTTATGATTAACTGTTTTGTGTTTATAATACATTTCATTGAAATATAAATTTAATAAAGGATTTTTCAATACTTCCTCATTACTATAATCATTTAATTTTGTAAACATTGAAATATTATCCATGATAATACGAGAATCTTGTCCAAAACGTTCATTAATAGAATTCAATGTAGAATTAATAAACTTTTTGCTATAATCATTCAAACCAATTGCCATATCTATATGAATATCATTGGAATTGTTATTAATGGGGTTAGAGCTTCTTGTTGAATGTGCTGTTCGGTATGTCATTGGTAAAAGAACACGACATTTTTAACTTTTTGTTTATAAATTTCATAATCAAATTCATTTAATGTATTTTCTATACGAATAGTAGTTGAATCTAAGCATGTAGAAAATTTATCAAATGTCATTGAACGACTTTCTGTTTGTTTCAAAAATAGTTTAGCATGTCCCAATATAATTTTCATGATTCCAACTTCGTAAAT